TGGGGGTTTAATTTTCAACCACCAGGGCTATTCCCATCCCCCAGGATTTAGCCACATGTCAAAGGCATCAGCTACAAACTTTTCAGCTTGATTTCTGTATTCTTAGGCTTAAGGTGTGACCTAAGCAAGAACACTAAGGGACTCTTACCAAAATAGGGGTTTGTTTTTTTTAATTTTTGCTGTGTCTGTGGTATGTGCTTCACTGATTCTGTAATGAGCAAGCCAAAGTGTCCCTTTGTAACCTAAACCCAAGGAAAGTGCAGCCTCCACCTCACAGATGTCACTGATGTTGACTCCTGGTAGCACATGGAAAACCCTCCTTGTACTTTCAGGATCTGGATGTTAGAATCCTGTGCATGGATGTTTTACAAACCTTCCTTTATTGCCCAGCCCTATTGGCCACTGTAGCCTGGATCAGCAGGTTGCTTGGCTTGCCTAGATTAAACTCTTGAGACAGAGCATTTTGTAATTATGCCCCTCAGCTACAGCTCTCTGGCATTCCCAGCCTGTGTTATTTAAACCAAAGCTGTTTCTTATGTCCTTTAATTTCCTGTACCAATGCCAGCTTGCAGTGGTGATTACAGCCTGATGGATAGGTAGGTAGGCTGCTGCTTTTAACTTTTCTGAATCAATGACACTAATTTTATTGTGATCAATTGAACAGCATCCTGTGGCACTCCTGTGGAGGATGGTATATTTATGTAGCTTGTTTTTGTTGCCCATCTCTGTGCATCAGAGGAGAGTACAATCCTCTCAAATGCTTCCCTGAGATAAAAGAAGCTGAAGAGTTCGCTAAAAAATCCAAAGGGGGTAGGCTTAATGTCATACATGGAGGAAGGTTCAGTAAAATCTTGAGGCTCCTTAAAAAAATCCTCAGAGGAAATGGTGTCAGTTGCAGAATAATATTCTCATGTGAGAGCCTTACACTTAAATTTCTGTAGTGTTTTTCTGGGAAGCAGCATTTTGTTTTCCTCTCAGTGTTTTTAACACATTCCCATACCCTGTGAGTTATCTCTCTGTTGGCCATGAAAGAGGGTGAGCAGGAATAAGGAGTTGACAAGTAGGAAATTCTGTCTCAAGGGTCTGGTTGCCATAATAAGGGTGTAAGCTAACATTAACAACATTTTTGGGCTGGGGTTCATGCTTCTCATACTGAAGCACCTCGTTTGAATGCTCTTAAAGCTGAAAAAAAATATTAGAGAAGAGTGTTTTCCAGGTTTCAGCTGGGATTGAGTTAATTTTCTTCCTTGTGGCTGCTACAGTATTGTTCTTTTTGGGCTGGGGTTCATGCTTCTCATACTGCAGCACCTCGTTTGAATGCTCTTAAAGCTGAAAAAAATATTAGAGAAGTGTGTTTTCCTGGTTTCAGCTGGGATGGAGTTAATTTTCTTCCTTGTGGCTGTTACAGTACTGTGTTTTGGGTTTAGGATCAGAATGATGCAGGTAACACCCTGATGTTTTCAGTTGTTGCTAAGAAGTGCTTCTGCTAGGTGAAAGACTCTCAGCTTCTCATGCTCTGCCAGTGAGGAGTCTGGGGGGGCAGAGGGAGCTGGGAGGGGACACAGCCAGGACAGCTGAGCCCAACTGGCCAGAGGGATGTTCCAGACTCAGTATATAAACAGTGGGGAAAAGCTGGCTGGGGGACACTGCTTAGGAACTTATTGGGCAGTGGTCAGCAAGGGGTGAGCAGTTGCACTGAGCATCACTTGGGTAGTTCAATTATTTTATTACTGTAATTATTAATATTGTTATTATTTTCTTCCTTTTCTGCCCTATTAATCTGTCTTTATCTCAGCACATGAGATTTCTCACTGTTACTCATACAATTTTGTCCCCCATCCCACTTGGGTCGGGGTGAGTGAGCAGCTCTGTGGGTTTGGCTGCCATCTGGGGTTAAACCATTCACTGTGGGGTCTGACAGTGGAAAACGACCCACAGGGACAGAATAAAAATGAAAAAAAAATGTATTATATGTGTATAATACTAATTTTATTATAATCAGAAAATATTCCTCTGAGGTTCTACTGCTCACTTTCACAGTCAGAGGGGTTACATCTCCATGTCCTACAGATTCCCAAGCAAAGTAAAATGCTTTGAGCACTTGCTTGAAAATTCTTCTTCATCGAAAGTTTCCCTAGAAAACAACATTGGCAGTGAACCCAAGTGACTTTTTATCCTCTAATACGTGCTCAGAAATTCCTATGAAAATTCATCCCATCGCTCCCAATGTCCCCTTTCTCCCAGGCTCTTGTTCAAAAGGGTGAATAGATTAAGAGGAAATTCTCCCTGCTAATTGAGATTCAGAGGAAAATCTCACCCTTCTCAATAATTTATATTAATGGCAAAATTTCCATTTTGCCCAAGATTTTAGGTAACTTATTCTAGAAGAAGCCTGATTTCCAAATGATTGCCCTGCCTAGGCTGAAGTCCACCATTAAAGTAACCACCAGCAAAGTTTCTCTCAGCTGCATTGGGTTGTTTTAGCCATTAGTAATAATGCTAAAATAAGAACAATGAGACCAGATCAATGGAGCCACTCAGGATTTCTCTTTAGGGAGAGGTGAAGGAAAGGGCTCTGCACCTTTGGACACGATCACCAAGTTTCCAACCACACCCAGTGTGTGGGTGAAGTCATTTTCCCGTGGCAGAAATAATCAGCCTTTCAGAAATGTTCGTGTCTTGTGTAGACACCATGTCTTGGAGCCAGCAAAGGGAATTTCCTTCTCAGGAGCCTGGAGAATCCGTTTCTCAGAGCTCCTGAGCAGCTGAGTGGCACATCACGGGCGACGAAGGCTCTTTGCTGCAGCGGATCAGAGGCAGAGCTCTCACATCTCTACAGCAGAGCGACAGCAGATGCTGCCTTTGGGAGAGAGGGGGTTTAGTGAAAATTCTGCCTCAAAAAAGGACATGGGTATACAAGAGACATTCATTGTGCATCTGCATATTTTAGAGGGAAAACAATACGAGATTTCTGCATTTTATTATCTTCTAACTCAGTAATGTTACTGTATTTTAACTGAAATGTGGCTCTTATTAGGAAAAAAATAGGTATTCAAACTAGGAAAGATCGAGAAGGAGGCATTTCTAGACTGGCAGGGAAAAAATTAGGAGTGACTCTTTTTCTTTCTTTGTGAGATAGAATTATTATTATCTGAATTCTCAACTGGTATAAGCTAACTTGGCTCTACCTAAGGTGACAGAATCACTTATTATACCCCCACTTGTGTGTAACATTTAATTCACTAAACATCAGCTGTTCATTTTTTATTGCTTTTTCTGAAAACTACTGTAAACAAGGATCTGCACACATTTTGCAATGCTTCAGCACTCCTTTTATCAGTGTTCAAAGCAGGCTTACTTTAAAATTTGTGATTCACTACTGATATTAAATTAAGATTCTAAAAGTGCTATTGAATGTCTAATAGTGGTGGCAGACAACATAGATTTATATAAAAACATATTCTCATTTTGACATGCAATATAGATAGCTATCCTGTGCTGTAAAATTTATTTTATATCTGTATGAAAATTACAGTTTTTAAAGAAAACGAACACCGGTTTTCACACTGAGACACACTCTGCTTTCTCAGGGATCAATCAAACACAGCTGCTTGGCTAATTACTCTGAATTTTCTTTTTTTTATTTTCTTTTTTTTTTTTTTTTTTTTGCCTGGCATATTAAAAATTAGTTTGCTTTATTTGTATTTCTGCTTTGCATTTCAATTTCTGGCAATATTCTGCTTTGGTAAAAAAGTAGCAGTGATTGAGAAACTCTAAGATATTTTTCTGGGAGAAAATTAAGCCTAAAGCTATACAATCTACATGACTGGTGACATGTTCAAAATCCCTCATGTTCCAACCATCCCCAGCTGTGGCAGCTGGAATTTTCAGGGAATTGTACCAGGCTCATCTGTATCTGAAGGATTAGGAGAACAGGGAGAGCTGGTGTAACTGCACATTCTGCTGAGATATACTTTTCCAGATATTAGATGGTCTCACCTAAAAATTCCCAAATACCATAAGGCTCCAGGGCACTTGATCTCATATTCTCTTCCTAGGATACATGCAGAAGAAAGCCTTTGTATATTTCTATGTTTTCAGTTTCTAATGGGTCATACCTTATTTTTTGGAGAGTGGCTTCTGATGTGCAAGAGCTGTGGGGGTTTTTGACTAATCTGTTCTGTGAGAGAGGCTGGAACCTTGACCCAGGATCTCTTCTACCTTGTGTTTCACTTGATGATGCAGTTCAGTGCTTACACAGTACCACTGAGAGCACTTTTTATCTCTCCTGTCATATGGGGCTAGAAAACTACTTGTAAAGAGCCTCAAAGGTTAATGAGAGCCAGCGAAATTCATGGTATGTGCATGCCATTTAATACAGTAATCTACAAGACACACAAGGAGAGCATTTCCTGGCAGAAATAGAAAAAAATGTCATGATCCCAGACTGTGGTGGTGAGTGGAACAAAGGGCTGGGTTTCTTGGATTAAACATTTAATCCTTTTGGGGGGTGAGTGAGGTCAGGCAAAGGAATCAATCAGGAAGGTGCTCCAATAGCACAGGCTGATGGTGTCCAGCCAATGTCAGACTACATAACCAAAAGAGCAGGTTCACCATCACAGTGTTACCTGCAACTGTAACAGGTGATACCATGTTTTTGATTTTTAATTAGGAATAAATGCCAAGAGAAATCATGTATAAGCACCTAATTCCAGTCTATTCAAAATTTGGGAAATGCTAGGTGATTATTTGCCATTGCAGCTCATGCTATGGGTTTTATTTTCCTGTTTATCCTTTAAAAGAAAAAAATAAGGTTGCCAAGGTCTTGGGTATTGTGAAGTAACATCACCTGTTTCCTGTGGTTTTACACAGTGAAGGAGAATACCATGGATGACCTGTGCTCTTAACCAAGGGCTTTGGATGTGTTTCCCTGGAAATCAGTTTCTCCATGTTGCAGCCATTGAAGAGGCATCTCACAGATTGTATTTGCTGTTTTGCAGCACGTGCCCTGAGGGATATATATGTCTGAAGGCTGGGGAAAATCCTGACCATGGTTACACGAGCTTTGATACATTTGGCTGGGCCTTTCTCTCCTTGTTCCGTCTTATGACCCAAGATTACTGGGAACGTCTTTACCAACAGGTATGAGGTCATTTTATTACTGTTAAAAATAAAAATAAAGACATCACCTTGTTATAGTGTCAAATACAACAGTTAAAGACAAGAAAGAATTGCTGGTTATTAGGTAAACTGTGCTTTGTGTATGTTCTAGAGAAGGATAGTCAGATGTTCTGGAGAAGGACAATCAGTTCTAATAATCAATTTATTTTCTTAAGAGGGATGATGTCTGAAGAAGGACAATCAGTTCTAATAATTAATTTATTTTCTTAAGAGGGATGTCTGAAGACATTAGTCTGGGTGTTTGGGGAAATTGAAAAAAAATGGTATTGAGAGAAAGATACTAATTCACCTGAGTCTAAATGAAGTTCACCACTTAAGGAAGATCACCACATCACCACTTGGTGATTTTTTGGTGGGTGGTGTAGCACAAGTTAATATTTTGAGTCCAGCTCAAGAAAAGGCCAGAGAAGCACCTGTGTTCTTGTCATATCTGGTTTTGCAAGGTGTGGTGATGAACACAAATCCAGAAAATACTATGTGATGCATTTCAGTCCTCCCTGCTGCAAGCTCTTCATCGTGGACACCTGACAGGCAGAGGCACAAACAGATCCAGACTCAACTCACAGTCACATGCAAGGTGGTCTCTGAGTAATTGCTCATTTCAGCATGCATTTCCTGAAATGTGTGCAAAATCCAAACTGCATCTGCCAGTTTGGTACTGAATTACATTCTCTGTCCATGAAGCCACTGACAATTTGCTGCTGCATCTCAAACCTGCCAAAACTGGAAGGTGATCATATGGAAACAGGAGATAACTTTGACAGGACCACTCTGAAGGTACTGAGGTAAACACTGCTGGAGATTTGGGGGATTTCAGCTTCACATACAGCCAGTTACGCAATTTCACTTCAGGAAAATGTAAAACAACGAAACTGAAGATTCTTTAAACAGCTGTATTCACTTGCTTGGCAAAGAGCTACGTGTACAACTCTGGAAGACAGAAACTGTCACAGCAAATAAGGATGAACATCACTTCATTTTATTATTTGACCTTATACTATCACAGAGTGTTTTCTGTCAGTAGTATCAACTCACTGAGCATGGGACATATCTGTTACACATAAGCTGTCCCCCTAAATTCCAGTTGTGCCAATAAATCTAGTGAAGAACCAGGGGATACATTCAACAGAGCCCAAGGTTTGGTTCTTCTCGTCCTGACACATCTCCGTGATTTTTGGATGAGTTGCATCATAAACATGCATTTTTCTCCCTGAAAAAGGACCTGGATTGTACACATCTGAAGGGATCCAACATGAATCCCACTTGGGTGGTTTCTACACACTAGACAAAACCAGATTGAACTGTGGGGGAATTTTTCACTGCAGCTGACTCTAATATCTATTCTAAAAGAAAACCAGCAGAGATATTTGATACAGGAGAAAATCATTGAAAGCATTATTCTTTTAGAAATTAATTCACTGCAAGGCACACAATTTTTGATTAAGGTATAAAAATTTATTGGTGAGGAGATTATTTCCTTGTATGTGGTTGTCATTTCTCATCAAAGGTTTTCTGTTTGAACTATTAACAAAGGCTGTATCTAATTATATTATAAATCTAATTTTAAAAGGAAACCCTTCTATATTTTTTTTCTTTTTAAAAACATGGTAAAGCATTGCTAATTTTACTTTTGCACGTACAGACTCTCAGATCTGCTGGGAAGATCTACATGCTTTTTTTCATGCTGGTCATCTTTCTGGGCTCGTTTTACCTGATCAACCTAATTCTGGCTGTTGTGGCCATGGCATATGAGGAGCAGAACCAAGCCACTATTGCTGAAACAGAGGAGAAGGAAAGAAAGTTTCGGGAAGCCATGGAGATGTTGAAGAAAGAGCAGGAGGTCAGTGAACTATGTGACATGATTAGCCTTGGGTGACTTGGAGAAATGTTACCTTGGGATTCACATCCTCTTTATTTTACATTTGTGTGATAACCAAAGTAAGAGTTTGTTTGAAAGCAGTTTGTTTATTGTACTGGACGAAGTTATTGCAATTTTGTTTTTTGTGAAAGAAAAATTATAGTTCTCCCTGTTAGGAGTAGGATCATTTGATGCTTACATATCCAGAAGTGCACTGGTTTAACCATGCCATGTATGCCAGCAGAGAAAATTAATATAGTTTGGCATGTGAGATGTTTTAGTGATGATTAAACTACATCTGCATTTGAGCACAACCCAGCTGTTTTGGTAGATCAGCCAGAACCCCAGCTGAACCTGATTCCACCACCCCTTTAGCACACATTGTTTGCTTCACTGTCTTGATCAACCTGCTATAAATATCCAATTGTTTGATAATGAAGGTAAAGGTGTAGATTAACCTCTCTGAAGCACATACAGCTTCGTTCCTGGAAAAGTAAACAGGCAGACCTTGAGGTTAAGATCTGCAAATTATGCAAAGGGTATGGATTTAATGTTATGTCATAAATTTAAACAAACCAGGGAGGCCAAATGGTGGATGTAGCCTTATAGCCTTAATAACAGTATTTAATTTGCATGTGGTTTGTGTGGGGTAGAAAGCTTATATTAAACAGCAGAAGAGAACATTTTAGGTACTGTGAACAAGAAGACAATAAGAAAATTAGTCTGAAATAACATGTAGCACTATAGTTCAGAGAAATAAATCCTTGAAACACAATATAAACTAATATACATAATTTTCTTTTGGGTACATATGGCTTCAGGGCCTAATCCAAAGCCCATTTAAATCCTTAGAAAGAAAATAGAAAATGCAATTCACTCTTGACAAAGTGCTAGTAGAGGCTTATGAATCATTTAAGTCCTTTTAAAGATCCTCTTTGATAGTTTAAGTAATAGGTAAATGCAATTTAGTCCATATACAGCCACTTTGAACAGAGTAACTCTGCCATAACCTAAGGGAACAAACTGAGCTCTAGCTCGTACTTATTTTGTACAAATTTTCATGTGTATTGACTCCAGCTGGGCTCTTCCTAATAACAGTCAACTTTGGTAGCCCCAACTATAATTAAAGATATTTAAGAATTTCATTTTGAAGGCTTTGATTTCAATTAAGCCTGTGTGTACACAAAGAAAAAGAACATTAAGCCTGGAAAGCATAATGTGTCAAAAAAACAAAGTTGCCCCTGAAAATCTGATTTTTTCCCATTTGTCTTTATGCTTTATAATAGAGTCTTTTCTTCAGCCAACCATTTCTCATCTTCCCTGTGCCCTGTTCAGTGCAAAGGGTGGACAGTACATGAGTGGAGAGCAGCTCTTTGCTTTCTCATCATTTGTTCTGTTGCCTTGGGGCAGCTTGAGCAGACTTCCCAGCTCAGGTAGTCAAAGCCTGCTTGGAAGAAGAAGTGACTAATATCCTCCAAGGTTTTTCAGGGCCTCTTGCCACTGCTCAGACTCCATGTGCTTCAAAAATGCTTCTTTGAATTTGCAATATTCCTGGAGTATTATCCTAGTTTTATGGGAAGGAAATTCAGGAGTGGAGTGATTTGGTTCCATGACCTTTACTAATGAAGTCCAGTAATTCTGCAAATCAACTCCTGGCCTCTCAAAGTAGACATTTGAAAGGAGAGGCTTAGGAAAAGGAATTGGGTGCTGCACCACGGAGCTTTCAGATGTCCTGCTGAGATATCTCCCCCTAGTCAGAGCTACTCGATTTTCATCTGGTTCTCCAAACCTCGATCAAGGTCTTGGTTTTGACTTTCTCACCGTACCACTAAGTTCTTGCCTTAAGAGCTCTCTTTTGCATAATCCTCATATCAGGGCTCACGTGAACTAAGCTTTCCTCCCATCCTTCAGCCACCCCATGTCCTTGCCAGGTATGCCTGGTCTCACACACCTTTCCTGCCCCCGGAGTTGTTGCGGTGGGTTATGGCCCGCAGTGCCTGAGGAACAGGACATGGTCCAGCCCCAGGAACCCAAACAGAGTGGGCAGATAGGCAGGACATGGGGACATCCTTGAGCCCAAGCTGCATGGAGCACAGAGGAAACTGGTGAGGTGTCCCTGCCCACGGCTGGGGGTTTGGATGAACTCTAAGCTCCCTTCCAACACAAGTTGAACTGTGATTCTATGGTCCTCCATGCCGTGAGGAACAATTCAGTCCAAATCCTTTTTCACTATCTGAGAGAGGTATTGAGAGCAGAAACAATTCAAGCAATAGGTAAGAAAATTATAAGAAACTAAAAATTAGCTTGTTTTGCAGTATGAGTGCAGCATGCTTAGTAGCACAAACTGCAATATTTTCCAGATCAACAAAATATGACAGCAATCAAAAAGGGAAAACAAAACTGTTCAGGCCAGCTTTTATAATGTGCAGTACAAAGGGAGCAGAAATATAGACCTGCTTGGGGACTATCAGTCAATTTATACAATTGGTCTAACACATTCCTAAATCTGAGCTTAACACCAAAAGACTTGCCAAATCTTTATGAAGAAAAAGCACTTCAGCATAGCAATTAAATCAATTGACTCAAAAAAAAAAAAACCAACAAACCAACCCAACCAAAACAACCTAGACCAGTGTCTGAGCCCTCCTCCTCTCTGCTCTAAGCAGCTTGCTTATGAAAGATATTTCCCACAGGAATTAAGTTTTGTTGTGCTCTCAGCTTGATAGAGCTACCGCTACTCCTTGAAATACATGATTGATTCTTTACACGGCTGTTAAGTGCCTTCACTTTCCTTGGACTGATGCCTGTGGGAGGAAGGGAGTATTTTGCAGTGGAGAGATGATTGCCTGTTTGATTCTAGTGGCTTACAGACAATAGCACTGAGGATTCATCTGTCTCTCCTGTTCTGAGGAACCTGAGAGGCTTTTTTTTAACAATTCACTCTCTTCAGGTGTTTCAGCTGGGGGCTCCGCATTGGGCTGGTCTCCAGGCCACTGATGTGGCCACCACTGGTTCTCCAGCACCTCCAAACCTGACCCCTGTGTCCAGGGTCCCCTCACCCCTCCTGCCTGTGCTGGGGACAGGGCCCCAGCTCCCCCAGCTCCTATCGATCCTTCCTCCTGGCTGCTCATTTTCTCCCAGGTCTGTGGTTTTGGTGCTCAGGCTTTGGAATTGGGCTTCTGCTCCCAGCAGCTGATGTGTTATCAGCCTGCTCCTGCAGAGATCCCAGCAGATAGCCAGCACAGCGTGGGAGCACATGGCACAGCAAAGGCTGCCTTATCTCCAGTTAAGCCCATGGCTCTTTCTTTGCATCTCTGGTCGCAGCTGCCTGCGCTGCGCTCGGGATAAGTGTTTACAGAAACGCGCCAGCTGAGCTGCCTGCTGCTCCTGGCATCCCTCTGTGCAGGGCAGGGAAAATCCCAGCAGCCAGCTGGGCTGCCCTCCTGTCCAGCCCTTCAAGGGGCTGAGGTACAGGGGGTCTTTAATCTGAGCTTCCCCAGCTTGAGATTTTTCTTTGCCTGGCACCAGAATTGTTTGTCCAGAGATGTGTGCATGGCGTGTGCACACAGGCTGTTCCTTCATGATATGTCAAACAGTCTTGTGTGGGAGCTCCACGTAAAAACTATCCTTTTATGCAGCCATTCCTGAGTTTTATGATTACTTATTTCCAGAAATTTTTAATGTCTCTCCTATACAACCTTAAAATTTCAGATGAAAAGTAATTTCTGAGCAGTAGTCGTTTTCACTGAAATCCTGAATTGATAATATTTATACCTTCTACAATCTTCTGATTTAGGCACTAGCAGCTAAAGGAATTGATTCAATGTCACTCAGCTCATTGGAAATGTCACCTAAAAGTGCAAAAGAAAGAAGAAATAAGAGAAAGAAAAAGAAATCTTTGGGGACAGACGAGTATGGGGAAGACCAAAGGAATCCCAAGTGTGACTACGATGATGGTCAAAGGAGGATGGTAAGCCATGGTCTGAAACATCACTTATTCCACACTGTACTTTCCTGGACAAGCCAGGCTCTGAGCAAGGCAATTTAAACTGAAACTTTGAGAAGAAACAGGTATTTAATATCTTAACTGATATTAACATAGCAGATACAGCATGCAGTCTGTGCTAGAACAGTGGAAGGAAACATATTACCACTTCATTTTTTAAATGAATTTAAAATGCCCATTAAACATTTTTATAAACTTGTTTTTTTCAATTATTTTTCCTTTTTTATTTTCTTCCTCAAGATTACCCTCAATCTGGTTTATTTTCTTTCATTCATCTGATTATATCTATCCTATCCCTACTAGAGATTAAAAAAAAAATCTTAGTGGAAACCTACAAGGCTTAAAAATAAAAGAGGAGGAGAAAAGGAGGAAACTTGTCTCTGAGGGCTTTTAAAATATTATGCAAAGACATTATTAACATTTTTATATTCTTTTGCTAGTTGCCTCCAAGTCAAAACTTCGTGGCACTTGTTTCTACTTTCTATTGCAGGGAAGAAAAACAGAGTGACAGTGTTATTAAATAAGGTTTTATGTAAATGTTCCTGACATGCATGAATATGAATCTGCCCATGCTGTATGTATCAAGGGATCATAAATAGCTGCAGATAATTTGTCTTTGTTTAACTGAGGGCAAAGTTTAAATCAGTTTGTTTTGTTATTTTGAATAGCCATGTAACGGGCTAAGTCCTTTTCTATTTTGTTGTCAGTGAATTTAGGGATACTTGGCAACCATAAAAAGCTCATAAAAAACATGTTAAGTGGTGTAAGTAAATGTGACCAATTAATGACTCCTCAGCTCACAAAATTTACCCAGAGCTGGATTTCTGTAGATGACATGCATTTTTTAATCCAATTGTTTGTGTTGCTGTCTCATTGGTCAAGAGGGTTGCGTAACAAATTGCACCTTTTCTAAACCCAGAATTGCTCTTTAGCTTCATTCTGGATGGGTTTCAGGACACCACGTGCCAGAAGCACCATGGTTTGGAGCTGTGCATTTTCAGTTTTATTTCTCAGACTAATATTCCTTTTTTCACTTTTCGCCCCTGGATGTCATATGCATGAGAAGCATGGGAGACACATTTCAAAGCTGATAGTAAATCTTCTCTGCAAGGCTGTGTCTGGCATGGTTGGAGGGAATAAGGCTGAGTCATCATTCAGATGCTATCTTAGCAGGGAAGTGTGTTGCCATCAGAAATCAGTCTCAATGACTGTGCCATGGAAACCCAGGCATGGATTTCTGACCAGCTGAAATTTGGTAGCAATCCAAAAGGGTTGTTTTTAGTTAGAAAGAGCCTGGGTTTTGTACTCCTCCGTGTACCAGTGTCACTAAATAGCATCATTACATAACTCAGTGGTGTAAGCTACAGCACAGTATGAAATCAGGCTTCATTTGATTTGTCTGGTTTGTGGGTGCTGTGGCAATCTGACCTCTCTTCATAGATACTTGGCTCATGGGAAAGTTCTGAAGAAGCTGGAAATTCTGTGCAGGCATAAAGTCAAAAATATGTTCTGCCTAAATGCTCTTACTCCAGTAATTTCCTCTTTAGAGAGAAGAGAAAGGGATAAACTTGAATTCCTTACACATTTTCTGAAGATCCTTTTTGCTCTGCCGGATTTTAGGTGTGTTTAGTCCTTGGCTACATCTTGCTGATGCTCTGGCAGAGTTGCAGTCTCACTAACTGACGTCAGAGTGGATCGTCAAGGCTGATATTTAAGTGAGGGAGACTGCTGTGTACTGAGGTTACCTAGCCCTTAAGCAGCCATGTGCATTGAGATAATCATTTTACAAACTAATAAACCATATCCCTCTTCTTGCTCTTGGTTTGTTTTTTGTTTTTTTTTTTTCCTTTTTCTTTTATCACCTTCTTCCGTCGTATTCTGCTTCTTCTTCTTCCCTCTTCTTCTCATTTTCCCTGCAGTTCATTTCCTGCCCTGTTTCTTTATCTATTCTTCCCCACTGCACTGCTCCTTCCCTAGTTGTTATGAAGATGTGTGATAATGCAGTAGATTGGAGCTGGATCCCCTTCCCTGCTCCTGTCTTCCACTCCTTGTGCTGCCTTCCCAGGTCCTCTGGCACTTGTCCCATGGGGGGGAGTAGAAGCAAAGGAAGTATCACACTGTGAGCTGAATGCCACCTTGACCCTTCCTATTTCAGTACATCTTTAATTGCCAAGTGTTAGACAAATACCTAAAGGCTAGGAATGACTGTCCAACCTCTTAACTTTGCGGAGTCTGAATACCTGTAATTAAGTCTCTCTTTCTCTGAAGCGCTTGGTTTAAAATGGAACTTACTGCTCTCCCCCAGAACTTCCTCGCTCCTGAAAAACGTGTTGCAAAATGTTGTTTCTCTTTCCCCTTTTTCCTTTCTGGGGGTTTCCAGACTCTCCTTGGCATTAGTTATGGTCCCAGTGCAAACTTGGTGAAGCGCAGAACCAGCCACGGAAGCGTTTTCAGTTTCCGACTCCGTGGCAGAGACACTTGCTCCGAGACAGATTTTGCCGATGATGAGATCAGCATCGCTGGGGAAAATGAAAGCCACCGGGGCTCTCTCTTAATTCCAAGATCTGGGAGGCGTCCAAGCGTGCAAAGTCAAGTGAGCCATAGTTCTCACCCTACTACTCCCAACTACACCCAGACGGGCAAAAGGAACAGCTCAGTGGATTGCAATGGTGTGGTTTCCCTGATAGGAGGAGGCACCGGGGCACTCAACCCAGACCCTACTTCTCCTGCAGGGTTACTGCTCCCCCCAGTTATTATGGAAAAGCCTGGGACAGGCGACCTGGTGAGTACTTTATAACTTTTGTATGTGATTCGCGCTCTCGTTTCCTTCTAAATGTTGTTGGAGGTTGCTGTAATTTATTTACACCATATGGAGTCTACAGTGAGAAACCCAGACCCACCATTCCAGGCAGGGTGGGAAGACCATGAGTTAATTCACAGTGAAATGTGTGCCTAGTGCCTCATCAGGGAGGTTATGCCTTCTGGTGAGATTTTCTCTTCAGGAGGCAAATACCTAAATCTTGAGTTTGACAGAGACTTTCTTTTCTTGAAGGGACAGTTTTAAACTTGATTTCTTTTGACTTTTGAATACCTGACATTGTCTGGTGGATAGAAAATTATGGTTTTTAAATGATTCCGTGAATCTTGCCATCTTGTGACTGTGTTTTCTCTTGCTGGTTGGTCTCTGTTTGCATCTGACCTCTTCTGGTCTTCTCTTGGGCTACTGGAGGAGGGCTGTTCCTTAAGTCCAAAGGTAGTTCCCAGAAAGGTTTAGCATCCAGTTCAAATAACACCCAGGAAATATGAGCAGATGATCAACAGATTTCAGCCCTTGTGCAGATTGCCAGCATCTTTGTTGCAGAGCAACACCATGATATGGTGCTTTTGGAAATAGCTGCTACACAGGCAGAGCAATCTGGACAGGTTGCTAGTTTGAGGTAGTGTGAATTTATCTTTTCTTATGTAGATAATCTGCACTGAAGGTCATCACTCTCAACAGTCTTCAAAATTATGGAGGTCACTACTACAGTCAGTGTGGGCAGAATTAATTTCATTTTAGGGATCAAAACCAGACCAGAATAATCTTTTTCCTTGGAAGTGCCTTTTTCTGTTCACTTTAACCACAAGTCTTACATTAGGTGAGATAAAGCCCACTCAGAGTAACAAGGTGCCAAAGCCAGGTTATGTTGGTGGGGGAAAAAAAGCAAATGTGATTATAACATGTATTAGCCAAGGTATCTCCTAAAGAGAAAGGTGAGTGTGATGGATCCCAGCTGTGGTGTCAGATTATCAGTAAATTGAGAAGCAGTTTTTTTTCTCTGGAGCCAAGCAGCTTTATTCCTTTCAGGGTTTGGACTGAATTTTTTTCCTCACCTATCTGGGCATTCCCTGTAGTTCTGCAAATAGACTCTCACACCACCCATGAGAGAAGGGGCCAAGCTGCATGTGGGAAACTGGTTGGTGTGAGAATTATCTGTTTTGTTGACAGTTTTGAGACTGTTGCTGCTTTTTTGGATGTTCACATCTTCCTTCACTTAGGACTTTTGTAATCTCACTTTTACTCTCTGTGGACAATTGTCCTGAGACAATTCTGTAAACAGCTGAGCAACAGAAATGCTGTAGATAGGGAAGTTTTACTGGATTTAGCTTTGTGGGGAAGAAAAAAAAAAGTGTATTAAAGGAGCTGGGGAGGAAAATTTGTGCATCTGTTAAAAAAAATTCTGAACCAAAGTTGTAAGACCTCAGTAGATGAGCAGAGGATGTCCTCTTTTTCTCTGTAAGGAAAGCAGCTCTGCAGGCTGTCCCAGCTGTCAGAAAAAGCTTAGCAAAGCACAAGAGCACTCAACCCTTCACAGAAAATATCAGCATTTTACAGGATTGGGTCCTGAGGTGACAGGGAGGCTCTGAGCTCTGCTGGCATTTATTTTCATTTCTCAGCTTCCTGCCTTTTGAATAAATGGATGCTGGAAATTGAGTGGCTGGGGTGGGTGAGCTCACTCGGCGGTTCCCTGGCCATCTAGGAAACAACACCCAGGCACTACAGTGACAGATGCTCATCCAGTGATGCAATGTGAAGGATGTTGTGTCTTTTGCAAAAACAGGTTTGGTATCTAATCTATCCAGAAAATGTGAGCTGGAGTTGAAGGCTGATTGGCAAGGGGCCCATTGCTGTACAGATGTATTCACTGCAGGGGTCGTAAGCACTGGGCACAAACTGCAGCCTCAGCTGTGCCTCAGGCAGAAGGAAATAGCAAATCTGACCCCTCAGCCTGCTTGGAGATAAATCAGCATGTTTCTCGGCTTTGCATTTGATGATTTTCACCTTTTTCATGTTAAAATTTGTAGGTGAATTTGTTCTTTGTTAGCAGCTCTGGTTTCTTTTTACAGTCTCTTCATATGTTTGGGGAAGGTAGAAAGAAAGATGTTGCAGTTACCTCATTAACCTCACTGACCCTTCTGCTGTT